TTTTTTTTTTTTTTTTTTTTAATTTTATTTTATTTTACTTGATAGAATTGTGCAGACAAAGTGCGCTGAGTCGGTTCTCGTGCAGATTGTGATTGTTCGAAAGTGAAGTTCGATATAGTTGATCGAAGCTACCGTCGATAGATCTTCAATGGAAGAAACTTTTTCGCCTGGGAATTAAGAAATTTCATGGAAATTCGAAATTAGAATTATCACGGACTGCAGATGTTTTTATGCAAGTTCGTTCACTTTTTTATAGGCTAGAAAATTGTTTTACTCACTTAATGCATAAATGCATTCCGCGTTTTATTTATTATAATAATAATGCAATCTTCACTGGAATGAACTCCTCACTGACTCGACGCAGTTATTGTGAATCGTACAATGTTAACAAAAATGTTCGCGATCCTTTTTATTATCTCACTTTATTCTTCGTTCGATCGCGTTCGATTTCGTATTACGGAAACGAATAAATAAATTTAATTTTTGAACATTGTCGTTTAACGTCTTTTAACACACGAGTGATTAACACTTAATCAACTGACTTGTGGCTCAATCTGATTGATGCTTCGTCGAGTTTAAATCGTTTCAGCATCCTCTAACACACCAACGCTGGTCCACAACACCAAATATTTCACCATATTTCTTCTGACTCATAACGAAAATTAACAAATAACAAACCGCTGTACAAATCTTGCTGCCAAGGATTCACTTCATTTCGTTAATGTTGATAATCTTCTAGTATTTAACACTTTCGCTGATGCTGGCTGTCTTCGTTAATCTCATCGTTCCCTCGACTTTTATGCATTTGAAAGTATGGAGACCGTGGATTTCTACGGGTTTATGAAAAAAATTTAAAGTTGCAGAAATATATAAGTCATCCAAAGTACAGAACATTCGTTGTGACAGTTGCTTGCAATTAATTTGCTATTATAGTATACTGTTCACGATAATTCCTCTAGTCGTGTGTCACAGTTGAAAATAATTTCTACGTGTGTGTACTTGTAGAAATCCGCAGGTCTGCTCGCTACGTTCTAATTCAATTCGATAAATGAAACTAAATAAACAGAAGAAGAGAATTCCAATGAATAGCCTTCGAAAGCAAAGTGAAGATAAAACATGATACATTGCCACTAACAGCAAGAGCGTTGATCGTCAAGATATTTCCAGCTTCCGCTTGAAGTCGTATGTCTCGAAAACGTAACCAACTTTGAATGAGATCACAATCTTCCACCGTCTTCTAACTTCTTCCGAGTCTAACCTCGAACTCCAATCGAAGTGAAAATAGGTAAAAAAAAAAATCTCAATCTAATCCCAATATAGGCCCAATTACGACACGGTCTAATTGTCAGCTAATTGTCCCGTTTTGACGCTGTTCTTTTCTTGTGGAGTTTTCGTACTGAGTTTCCACGCCCGTTCCTGGCTTGGTGATCGATTTGTAATTAGTCGAATCGTTATTTTTGGTCCGAAATCTTCGACAAAAGGCCCGGCGTCGCAGGGCACGCCTCCGAACAGTCCTGCCGCCGTGTCCGCGTTCTCCAGGGTAGTGGCGGCGAGCCAGACGAACAAGCAAGCCCAGAACCAGGTTCAGGGAAACCCCCTTGGATTAGCCGCGGTACTGCTGCACGGTGCACAAGGTAAATCGGGTGGTGAGAGTGAACCGAGAGGGTGAAGCACGGTAGAATCGACTTGGAGACGATCTTCAAACGGCCTGAAATCACAATCCTTTTATCGCGATTTTTATGATTCTTTGCTTGATTTTTTCTATTACGTTCTCACTTTCTTACATTCTATGTTTCATATGTTATATATATATATATATTTTTTTTTCTATTCTATGTCTCATAGTTTTTGTTACATATGTGCATACAATGTCATGTCAGAATAAAGTGAACGTATGCTGATGTGTTAAATACTGATTTACTAAAGACTTCAATGTGAGGATGTACAGTATCGTTTAATTATTAAAAATTATTGATCGCAGAGGAACAAAGCTTGTCGATTAGACCAAAGTCATTGACTGATCGAAGGAATTCAAGAAGAATATTACTTGAAATTCAATGTCGCTAAAAGTTGAACAAACCTCGTTTCTGATGAGAATTCAAGAATTGCATGA